ATCATTCTTTTGCGATTCGCTAAGACATTGTTAAATGGACAAGTTTTATTTTGACCATGTGGTTTGCATTTCAACAGTCCAAGGAAGAATGTGAATACTTGATAAATCAAGCTAAACCTCACATGGTGAAGTCAACAGTTGTTGATAGCAAGACCGGTCAGAGTAAAGATAGCAGGTTTGTACTGCTAACTTCTTTACTTTCATTAACTGGCCAGTTAAGCCACAACGAGAAATTATGAGTTTTTTCTTCTTTTATTTATTTTTCTTTTGTAGCTTGGTCGAAGGACTATATTCTTCAGTTCTTAACAAATTAAAATTTCAACAGCTACTTACTTTTTTTCCACTACTAAAAAGTACACAAGTCAAAATTTTTGAATTTGTGTTAAATAGTGTCATTTGAAATAGGATGGATGGGGGAATATCCTTTTCTATTGAATCGATGTTCTAACAATATTATGTAACAGGGTTCGTACAAGTTCAGGAATGTTTTTGAGGAGGGGACGAGATAAAGTTATCAGAAATATTGAGAAGAGGATAGCAGATTATACATTCATTCCTGTAGGTACGAGGACTGGACTATATCCATGCAAAAATCATAGTATATGAACTCTTTGTTGTCATTCTCATCCATAAGTTCTTGTTAGAAAATTATATATGGGAAACATACCCTGATAAAGTGCTTTTTTTGTTCTTTTATAAGACGCAGTGGTTGTATTCTTAAAACTTTTAAAAAGTAATTTACCTAAAACCATCATAAGTAGTTACCCTTGGCAGTTAAGTTTTTCAAAATTTTCAATTACTTTAATTTGAAGGTTTAGATAGTTAAGCTTACCTCAAGGGAGATTTAGGATATTAAGGTTCCATTTTATTCATATTAATTGTAGAACTTAGAATGTATAGTGTCCTGCTAGAGAAGTTTTAGGTTGTTCTTTTGCTTGCTCTTCGAAATATGATCTTACTAGTTTGGTTTTCCTCTTCAAAGCACAAAATAACACGAGATCTTTGATTTTATTCTTGTTTGTTAGAGTCACTAATGTTCATTTAAGGGAAAAGAAAATTGCTTCTATGCAGACGTGTATCCGTCCTTTGTTAGGGACATAATAATACTTTGCTCCCCTTGTGAATTTCCTGATTAGATAATCTTGTTTACAGAACATGGAGAAGGTCTACAAGTTTTACACTATGAAGTTGGACAGAAGTATGAGCCTCATTTTGACTACTTTCTTGATGAATTCAACACCAAAAATGGGGGTCAACGTATAGCTACTCTTCTCATGTATCTGTAAGATTTATAATTCCTCAAATAATTATTTAATAGATATGGTGGAAGTTCTGAATTTTTGCTAAGTTGTATGCATATTGAATATGCAGTGATTGATTGTTTTATTTATTTCTTCGGGGCATATGCAGATCAGATGTAGAAGAAGGGGGTGAGACTGTTTTCCCAGCAGCAAAAGGAAACTTCAGCTCCAGTCCTGGGTGGAACGAGCTGTCAGAATGTGCCAAAAGGGGCCTCTCCGTCAAACCAAAGATGGGTGATGCTTTGCTTTTCTGGAGCATGCGACCTGATGCTTCTTTAGATCCGTCAAGTTTGCATGGTACGTTGTTTTCTCCTTAATATCCCATTACTAACACCTTTTAAACTCTTTAATGTATATGTTTCCCTTTCCTTCCTTCCCCATGAGAACTCTTATAAGAAAAAGATGCAAGTTTACGTGTAGCAAACAAGTTAATTGGGTCAGTTTCTGCTTGTCTTGGCAGTGGTGTGGGACATTTCTCTAGTTATTTGGTAGAATATGTTAGTACTAATCCTGAGAACAAAATAATTGTTGAGACTATTTTATCCAGCAGTGTAGTAGTTTGTGTAACAGAGCTGGACATATTGGAAATTGCATACTGAAGTGATCGTGCTTCCTGTAGAATATCAAGATCCAACATCAATTTGTCACGTTGCTAAGGTTTTGGCCTTGAAGAATAAGTTATCGTATACAGTTAATATTTTCCTTGTTCATGATTATCATATTTTGTGATTTGTTTCTATAGAAACTTGTGTCAGTGCTTTGCGTTTTTTATTTGTTCCTTTAATTCTCAAAGGAGTCTACTGATTATGGAATGTATTATGGAAGTTAACTATTCCTTGAAGGGTAATTTATTTTGGTTTTCTAACAGCTTTTATCTGCGCAACTTAACAACTTTATTCCAGGTGGTTGCCCTGTGATTAAAGGGAACAAATGGTCGTCTACCAAGTGGATGCATGTCGGTGAATACAAGCTATAATTCTCTTTCAAAAAGGTATCTTCATGTTTTTGGAAATTTTTCTCATATATCAAGCTTTAGACTCCTGTCCACCAAAACTTTCTCTTGATATATGGTAAGTGTTGATTAGAACATGATATCGAGTATGTTGAAAAAATTATTATCCATATGAGCAAGTTGTTAATGTTCAAGACAGTCCTAATCGTCAACCTGTAGCACTTGTTATAAGTGATTCCTAGCACACACTCTAAGATTTCTGCCAATTCCTCCAAGGTAGCAAAGAAATCGGCTTGTGAGACAGTTCAGGACTCATGTTAGTGTCACAGTGCTTCAAATCTCAAGTGCTATGCATAAGGAATATCTGGAGAAAAAACATGGCTAAAGACCTTTAACTAGTTTCGGTGTAGTTAGATGACTACCATCGTTGTCTAGGCATTCAGCGAATAAATATTTAGATTTTGTATGAATCCTGGCTGTGTTAGGCCTTCCGGATTTGGATTGTAACATCCTAACCCTAATTCTCCTTAACTTGGAAGCCTCGTTACATCACTTTCAACAAATGAAGGCAAGAGGTTCGAGTTTCAGAGGTTGGTCTATTCGAAGCTTTTTTCTAGAAAGAGTCAGCTCCTCATCTCGACTATTACCCAAATATATGACTTTCCTAGGATGAATATAATTTGTTCTATGTCCAAATGTAAGCAAAATTTAGCTGCCAAAGTTATCAATCCTTTCAGATTGAGCAGCTAGTTAACATTCGAGTAGCGAATGAAGTGAAAGAATCTGTACTTGCTATCTAACTCACTGTTTGGCAGAAGCATCAAAAGATTTTGAGCTGGTTACCATTTTCAAAGAATAACCATCTCATTCTTTGTTTGACACATCTCATCAGCGGCTACTTCTAGAAAGATTTGGTTAATGAAACCCGGAGGTGGAATTCCGATGTGCAATTAGTGGCTTCTTCAATTATATGGCCAGATGAAAATGTTGCCCCTTCTATTGCTCAGATGGTTGTTTAGCAAAAGCCTCCTATCATAATTAGTTAATCCTATGTATCCCTCTTTAGGTTTTAGCTTGTTACTCCTTTTCCAAAAGCATAAACTCGTTGCCCGTCAGCAATAATTTTGTGGAACCTGATGGATACATCTATTGGGATAATTCTTAGTGATGTCTCTTTATGCATGCTGATTATTATACATTTGATAATTTTACGCTGTGGTGATCCGTCACTTTGAACGGATCTGATTGCTAATACTCAGAATGGACATTGTATTCATGGTTGATGAAGTAATCAATGTTCTTCCAACTTAAATTTAGTCACGTCTGCTAGACTTCGCAAAGAGTGTTATAACAGAAAGGAACTTTTCTTCGTGGAATATGCGTTGTCTCTGTGGTTATGACATGTTTTCTTGCATTTCAGATTGCTTCTTCTAGGTGAGGTACAAGCAGTAATGGATCACAACCCTTTAAAAGTTGAAGAATGGTGGCTTACTTGGTCGTTCGCCTCTGATGAGATGTTTATAATGCCAGGCTTATACTACATATACGCGAGTCATTGGCTTGCCAGTTTTGAAGAATTATGCCTATTTATGGTTTCTTGTAAACGGGTAGTTAGGTGAGAATAGTTGGCGGCTAACTGTGTTAGAAAGGGAGATTTAGAGCTGGAATTATGTGATATGTTGTACGGTGCTAGCTTTTCTAGATTGTTTGATTTGTTACAGTGTCAATTCTTTTTTAAATATAAACATAACCTCTTTTGTCTTTTCTTAGTTCATCAAATCACTAGGGTTTACGAGTACAACTTTGGTAAACAAAGTACTGTAATCAAAAAGTATAAAGACGTGCAGAGAAAACAATTTGCTTGTGGAATAATCGAAGCAGTTTGGAAACAATAAAACAAGACAGTAATTTTGGAAAAAAGTGTAATCAATATTGGTGTGACGAGACATGAACAATCCAGTAATTTAATTACAGAACAGCATGTGAAATGACCTTAAGCATGAGATCCTGTAGGCTGGGTTCAAAATCCTCTCTTCTCCAGCTATAGCCAGAAAAAGAATAAACTCATGAAAGCTATATATTACATTATCAAAACTGTGGTTGAGCAGCCAGAACATTTGGTTGATTAACACCAAAGACAATTTGCTCTTTTATCTGGCGATGCTATCAAATTACTAAACCAGAAATAGTTAAGACTCATAAGACCTGAAAAGTAGATCAGTCATATCACCACATGTGTGAGTTATGAAGATTGGAATATGAATGAGGATTTAAGTAATTTAGGTGAGTTACCTTCTCAGTGCTAATGGCACGAAGCTCGGTTAAAACCTCAGCAAAATCAGCAGGAGGCAACCGAGTGAAGTGTATATTCTCGCCTGTGTATGGATGCCTAAATCTGCAAATCGGACTCACGTGTAAGTAATGATAAACATATCACTATAGTTAGTACTCCTAAAAAGAGGCAACTTAATCAAAGCTTACCCAAGGGTTAAAGCGTGGAGGCAAGGTCTTTCAATTCCAGAAATCAACTGTGAAAGATTCCCATGAGACCTTGGAGGTGTTTTAGGCTGGAGAAGCGAAAGGGCCATGTTCTTAGTACCTCCATACACCTCATCACCCAAAAGAGGTATACCTAGGTACTTTGCATGAGCACGTATCTGTTTCATAAAATTGATGTTGAGATTAACGGAGGGTATCCTGTAATAGAGAAATACTATTGGAAAATAATGCTGAAAGCAGAGGATGTACACATTATTTTCTGACTTTTTACAAGGAGCAGCATCTACAAGTTTTATTATCATAACAAAATTATTTTATTAAACAATGCAAAGAATATGCACATCAAGCACAAAGCTCAAACTACAAAGCTTCTATCTTTCTGAGGATATATCAGGTGAGACTAATATCACACTAGACATAGTGACATTGTAGAGTCAGAAGTTGGCTGCTTCGATAATGCTCCATAGCCTTTAGTTTGCTTTAGTACATCATACCTACAGATATGCCCCTTTAAAAAATACAACGCAATAATACCTCATACTTGCCAATTATATGTATCTTAAAGTGTGCAGGTATCAAGGAGTTGAAAAAACACCTATATAAAAAGAGATAAAAGAAGAAAATGGATAGGAAAAAAAATGCACTATATCAGGCTGGTAAAGCATGAAACTGGCGATGTTTTGGGCAGAGGAAAGACACTTTTCATGAGTAACTAAGAGTCCATATAATATTATACCTGGTGAGTGCGCCCAGTTTCTAACCTCCATTCAACCAATGCGGAGCCACCCCCAGCAAGTTTTTCAATTACTTTATACCTGAAAATAACTTGATTTACTTTTCGCTGAAACACCTCAAATCAGCGTGTATTTTGAAGAGAAGCAACTAGACCTTTTGCACAAAGAGTTCATACGTGTTTGGGGTGACTGTGTGCGGGGTGGTTGTGTTTTTTTTTTTTTTTTTTTTGGGGGGGGGGGGGGGGGGTTAAATAGCTGTGCAACTTGGCTTCAAATAAATTTTTGGGAAATGGTAAGTATAACTTGGATTCAAATACTAATTGATACTTGATGAAGAAAACAAAGTATGAAAGAGTTTCCAGCACCTACTGGCAGCATTACGGGCTCTTCCACCTTTATGTGATCCAGGAATAGCAACCATACGTATGCGGTTATTTGAATCACGGCCAATTGGGATATCAATACGTCCTGAAACTGATGTAGGTACCCCACAAGTAATGCTGACATAGACTCTTTTTATGGTATGTTTCTTAAACTGCTCAGCTAGATTGGCAAGAGATTGCTCAGTCTGTAGGACATGAGAGATATTTAAAATAAGAAGATTAGTCTAGGAATATCAGCATAAACTTCTCAAAAGATAAGGGACATATCTAAACGAATTACCCATCTTCAGAGCCTGGAAGTAGGAATCACCTTTGCAACAACAAGCAAGCCGCTGGTTCCTTTGTCTAACCTATGCACGATTCCTGGACGAATAGATGGCTCATACATACGAGAAGCGTCAACACCATTAGGACTTTGATCGGCAGAAAACATGTTCAACTCATCACCAGAAGCATCCTCCACATCAGAAAGCACTTCTTCACCCGGAAATGAAATGGTGGGAAGACTGCAGTGATGAAGGATTCCACTTACAAGCGTTCCAGTAACATTTCCTGGCGCAGGATGGACTACCTATATTGAAGCAAAAATTCTATTGAGCTTTCTTAAGCTGTCAGTTCCAACATCCATAATACTTCAAGCAATCTATCTGAATCACCACTGGAGCTAAGGAAAAAAGAAAGAACGAGTAAGTTTATGTACACTAACATTCCTACTTTCCAGGCTAACAATGAAGTATCTAGACAATCAATGAACTGCAGCTGTAGAAATGGATAGAAAAATAAAACAGTCTCAAATCACTCAAATCCAACAGCACACCAGTAGAGCAGAATCAGCATTATCAAACTAGACACCAGAAAACAGAACTGTGGCAAGTGATTCCGCTCTTGTCCAGTCTTTGAATTATGTATCTGCCTGTGCATGCTAAATTTTATAATATTGATCCGAGATGAGCTAAACTGGAGCAATATGAAAATGATCTTAGCAATATGGTCAGTGAGTGATTCATATTGCCGGTTCCAACTAGATTGGGGATTGAGGTGTTGTTGTTTTTGTCTGAGCATACTAAATGGGCAAGTGAATGTTCTATCAAAGAAAAATGCATTACAAGAACCGAAAAAGAAACTTCAATGACAGTAGAAATTACCATGTGAGCAGGCTTGTTAACAACAAGCACATGATCATCTTCATACACTATATCCAATGGTATATCCTCTGGTTCAGCTCTTAAAGGCTTCAAATCAGCTATTGTACAATTAACCTTATCCCCACCTTTTACCGTATGTGAAACCTACAAAAGATCCAATCTTTACCCCCAAAAAAACAAGAAATAGAGCACAAAAACCGAACCCCCTATTCTTGTAAACAAAATTATACTGGAACCTTATCAGTGACACGACCATTGACAGAAACAAGGCCAGAGCGAATGCTGGATTGTACACGAGCTCTGCTAATACCGTCGATACGAGAACTGACCCAAGAATCAAGTCTCAGCTTTCCAGTTTTGATATCTACTGTTTCTTCGAGCTTGACGCCGGAGTAATTAGACCTCCGGCTTTGAATTTCATCCGGTGAGTCGTCGGAATCTGAGTCTCCGGGGAATTTGGAAAATGCTCTGATAATGAAGCTTGAAACCCTACTAAAAGAAAAGGGTTTTGGGTTTTGTGGGTGCACAAAGATTGATGTTGAGTTAAGTGCCAGCATCGCCAATATCCACAATTTTTGCTACTTGGTATATTAATGGGAAAAACGGAAGTTTTTCAGAACTAGAGATATGACGGCGAAGATATAGCTTTAAGATATTGATTTATGTAAAGTATTAATGATAATGAAACATATTAAAGTAGTAATTATTGTTACATTAAAATTTTAAATCAAAAAGCTAAATAAGTTTGAATTCTTGAAGTATATTGCTATACTAGTGTGTGCTGTATTAGCTAAGCAATAGGGATGAACATGTCTTATATGACATTCAATATTGCAAAAAATTGGAGTATCATTATAAGTTGTCCGCGAAATTGTAGTAGTTTAGTTGATTTGTTACATGACTTTCCACGTGGTGGGTGAGGGTTTGATTTCTAGTCTCGTAATCACTTCCTCATTTACTAGAATAATTATGAATTTCAAACTCGACTATAGTTATCTCCGTGTAATTTATAAGTCACAGATTTGAGGCGTGAAACTATCAATTGATACTTATATCAGGTAGACTGTATACATCACACCTCTTAAGACATATTTTTTATCCCGATCTCGCGTAAATACGAAATACTTCGTGAACCGCACTTTAAGCTTGACCTATCCCAAAATAAACCATCGTATGGGTTGGTCCACGTCATGTTCACATTTCAGTTGTGGAAATCGTAAGCTAGCAAAAAGTAAGCATATACCAAAGCCAGATCAACAATATATCCAAAGAGACAACTTCAAAGGCAAAGCAAAGCACCTCTAAAAGTAAAGAGCATAGTATGCTGCAAAATCCCAAAAAACAACCAAACATTCTCTCTGAATCAAATACTCCTTAAACATCCAACAATACACATAAAACTCCCAGAAAAAACTCCATTTTCTTTTGTCCCTTGTCTCAAAATATCATAATATGGGACTTTGTTTCACTAAAGACTCTTGCTTTACAAAGTCTAGAGATGTTCCAATATCATCATCTCCTTCTGAATCTCCTCAATATCATCCAATACCTGTATTATCTCAAAAACGTCGCGACGAATCACCATCACCTCCAACTCCAACACCAGCACCAGCACCAGCACCAGCACCAATGCCAATTCCAGCTTTCAATCCTATGCCAAGAACTAGTATTTCCCTACCATCATCTTCTCAAATAGGTCCAATTTTAGGCAAGCCTTATATTGACATTACTACAATCTATGATCTTGACAAAGAATTGGGAAGGGGTCAATTTGGGATTACATATCTTTGTACTGATAAATCCACTGGATTGAAATATGCATGTAAGTCCATTTCAAGAAGGAAGTTGGTAAGTTCAAAGGATAAAGAAGATGTTAGGAGGGAAATTACAATACTTCAATATTTAAGTGGACAACCAAATATTGTGGAGTTTAAAGGTGCATATGAGGATAGACATAATCTGCATTTGGTTATGGAATTGTGTTCAGGTGGTGAACTTTTTGATCGTATTACTGCTAAAGGAAATTATTCAGAGAAAGAAGCTGCTAGAATTGGGAGACAAATTGTGAATGTGGTTCATGTTTGTCATTTTATGGGAGTTATGCATAGAGACCTTAAACCTGAGAACTTTTTGATGGTTAGTAAAGATGATGATTCTCCATTAAAGGCCACTGATTTTGGGCTATCTGTCTTCATTGAGGAAGGTTAGTTGCAAATTCTCCAGTAGTATTAGTATGTATTCTCGTATTTTTGTTATTCTTAGGTTCCTATTACTACACGTTGCTTAGTTTTGATCATTTTATTATCTTGTTGTTGTTGTTGCTTCTTTTTCATAGCTTCTATACTACCATTTTTCTTTTCTGTTACTGTTGTGGTTATGCTTTCCTTGAGCCAAGAGTATATTAGAAACAAACTCTACACCTCCACAAAATAGGGGTAAGATTTGCGTACACATTATCTTCCCCAGATCACACTGTGTATGTAGGATTATTATGGGTATGTTATTGATGTTGTTGTATATTTGAATAGTATGATTATAATGGTAGCAGTGAAACTGAAGCCTAGAACCTTTGTTTTCTCTAATATAATATGTTACATCATGTGAAATTTTCATTTAAAAGCTGTTAGAAAAATGAACTTTTATTTCCTTAATAACCTGCTTCTGTATCAATATCAATATCCATTGGGGTTGGGCCTTTTATCTTTTGCTGAAGTTATTCTCTTCTGCTACACTTTATTTGCTCACATCCACAATCATATAATTCTGTTTGATGTCATGTGATAACTACTTGGAACAATAAGTTTGAGTAATGGGTTGGATATAATTTATTATTATTATTTTTTCTATCAGTTGATGGTAATGTGAATTAGACTAGTAGTGACAAAATAAGTTAAGTGGATAACTTATTTAATCCTCTTCCGCTAGTTGTTTATATCTATTTATCCTTTCAGCTTCACTTACTATTTTCGACTTTTAAATATATGATTGGAAGTTCTTAAAGATATATTTGAATGAAGTTCACACTCATTGTCAATAACAATAATAATAATGGTGAGTCCGATTGTACTTTATATTTATTAATTTAAATCTTGAATTCGTCCCGGTTTATGTTTCGTGCGTTATAGTCCACGCCTTCCGCCATGAACTCGGGTCCCCGGATTCGGATCATCTAAAATTTGTACGGGACATCCATGACCGTTTCTCATTTTTTGACTTTTTACGGTCATAAAACTTAAATTCCCATGACGTATCGCTCCTTACACTGTTAAGAGGATTAGGTAGAGAAAATATACTAAATTTGGGACTGAAAGAGAACAAAGTTTTCAATTGATGGGACAGTTGAAAACGAACTTACTAGACTTTGGTCCTTAAGTTTGTGAGCAATAAAAGACTTACCTATGTGAATGTCACTTTCAGTCAACCAGGTTGACTCAGTCAAGTGAGAAAGTGACAGGTCAATGTATATTTTTCTTTGTATCAGTGTAAAACCAAGAACATGAGGTATGTAATCATGGAGGTAAATAAATAAAAGAGGAAAGGGTCAAAATTACCCAACTTATTTCCTAGTATTAATTTTGTTCGTATTTGTCGTGGAGCATAATAGAGCTCTATCCTTAAGTATAATAAAAGATAATTTCGAAGCCTAACCAAAAGTATTGATTGATAAATTTGGACCTTCTTCTCAAAATATTTTAAAACGTTAATATTAAAGTCCCCTTAAAATTAAAGACAAATGCGAGATGATATATTAATAACAATAGTATGAATGACCTAAAAAATATGACGACTCATAAAATTTAAATATTTGCACAATAGATGAATGAATTTGAACATTTTCCAATAAATAACCAATAAGTAAAAGATATAATTTATTAGTAATCTAGAGGACTGTATTTCTAATTAGGTGGTCTAGGACTCTTTTAATCAGATAGACAAGACATGTTTTTTTTATAGGGCTATGTGACATCCTAGGCGAATCCCACATCAACAAAACACAGGAGGGATGTTGAGTATTTAAGTAGACAGACCTTAGACTCTAGTGATGCTTTAAAGTTGTGCGAGCTTAGGCCCAAAGCGGACAATATTACTAATAGGCTGGGCTGTTACGTATGGTATCAGAGCCACTCCGGCAAACCGCAGCGAGGACTCTGAGTCCCCACATCGACAAAACACGGAGAGATGCTGGGTATATACGTAGACAGATAGACAGGCCAACAAATTTTTGACAAAACACGGAGAGATGCTGGGTATATACGTAGACAGACAGACAGGCCAATAAATTTTTGACAAAACACGGAGAGATGCTGGGTATATACGTAGACAGGCCAACAAATTTTTATTTACGGCGGATACACATGTGCGCCGGAGAAATTCGTTACGTTCATGCATTTGATTTCTTGTACATTAGAGAATATCGTTCTTGTGTAAATATTTACTTAATTACATTTCTATGAAATATAGATATTGACATTTTATAGTTATCAATTATCTTCTCACTATTACTAGCAATAAGCTAAAATTTTAATGAATTATATATTGTCACAGGAAAAATTTACAAGGACATTGTTGGAAGTGCATATTATGTTGCACCTGAGGTATTGAAGCGCAAATATGGGAAAGAGATAGATGTTTGGAGTGCTGGAGTTATTTTATACATTCTACTAAGTGGATTTCCTCCTTTCTGGGCTGGTAACTATACTTTTCCTGGCATAATGTGTTCATATAGTAGTGTGGTACAACTTTTAACTTATCAGTATTCTTTTAAGAAAATCCACGACTGCGTTTAATTTCTATACGCTGATAGTGTAAAAAGAATTCCATTATCAGGTTGTCTCAAAAATACCTATAGGTAACTGACTGTTATAAGTGTGATAAGTGTGATCAGAGGCGATGCTAGAATTTAAAGCTTATGGATTCAAAATTCTAATTTTTAAAAGTTATTGTGTTCTAAATTAATAATTTGTGCATATTCAATGAATGAATTTGGCCGAACCCACAACCGTAAGGCTAGCCCCACCCCTGAGTGAGATTAGTAACTTGAAAAATAAGGCGTCCTATCTCGTAAACATTTGGACGAAGCCGTGGGAAGTGGGGGCTCTACCAAAAAGCATGCAACGACACAATCAACAGGTGAGCCCTTACCTGTGAATGTGGTTCCGGATCTCTTGCATCATATTTGCTACGGCCTTAAGGTTGAGAGAGGCAAATGCCGGATATAAAAACAAACCACAGTGATAGTTTTCAGCCATGAGTTCCCCTATGACATAAGCGTTCGAAAAAACTTATTTTTGTTGCCTGTACTGGAATTCCCTTCTGGTATTTTCTAACAACTCAGTTGATTTTACTATTTTATGTGTTTGTATTTGTACATCAGAGACTGAAAAGGGCATATTTGAAGAAATTTTTAAAGGCCAACTGGATTTTGAATCCTCTCCCTGGCCTTCTATCTCGTCCTCTGCAAAGGATCTTGTTAGGAAAATGTTGACAATGAATCCTACAAAAAGGATCACTGCAGATGCAGCCCTCGGTAAGTACATATATTTCAAGCTTTATTAGTTTTACATATTGCTACTCGACGTTACACATTATAACAGTAAAATCGCAAAACTATTTTTTGTTACCAATAAAACTTGGACAATGATATATGATCCAGAACATCCATGGCTCAAGAAAGATGGCGAAGCATCGGACAAGCCTATTGATAGTGCTGTTTTGATTAGGCTAAAGCAAT